AAGAAAAATGTCACCCAACTGTTCACAAGGCCTACCATTCAAAGTCCTCTCTTTGGCATGGACAATTCTGAGTTGTGATTGGACGGTCATAATCGTAGCCGTTGTAACAGTGAGCATGAGAGATGCGCCTCTCGTAAATCATCTTCCTTCCTAACAAACACGACCCGCTCTGTTCGTCTGTTGGTATCCATTCTTTGTAGTCTTTTTTCACGCACGCAGAACCTAACGTTAAAATAGGTGACTCAGATAAGGGACCGAGCATTAGTTATCGCCTCAGGGAAGGGGGGTGGACTTCGTAATATTCGTATGATCCTTCCTCGAAGTCCGCCCTGTGTACTCTATTGACAACGACTGACACCCCCTCCATTCCTCCTGAAATCCATAGAATTCCTCCTCCCTCCCCCCAAAAAACTCCACCCCACTCGCCCCCTCTGCGATAGATAATGACTGGTCCCATACGTAGTTTGAGCCAACTAGCTTAAGCTACAATTCGTGTGAAAAAATCAATGACGAGAAAATTCCTTATTTTTTTCGTCTCTAGCGCCGAGGAGCAAGGATCAAGGATCCGAGGTACTGTCAGTTTCCAATGAAGCAGTACCGTTATATTCCAGTTATGGTAAAAGTCTAGCTGTAGTTACTGTAAGTTACAGCAACAGAGTGCTCGTCACTTTAAACAATTTAAGGAGGCTCCATAGAGTTTCTGACCGCACGAGATCTGGACGTGAACATAGCGCAATCTTAGCAAATGTCAACAAGGCGGCTCCATACGATCATGCGATTTTTTTCTAGAAAGGTGTATTAAAAATATGGCCTTTACATAATAGACTTTAGGGTTTCCAGCAACGATACCCACTGGGGAAACATTGCGAAAAGGCGACAGGTTTGAAACTTTACACATGTTCAGATATCGATCTCGGCGAGGTTCTATCCTACGATGTAATGTTTTGAGAAAAAGAAGAGAGATCTTCCGACTGAAATTCATCGCGTCTCCTACGATAGAATTTCCAAAGATTTTGTGGAGCGTTTGACATATTGGTCCCCTTCCTATTGCCAACTAATGAAAATAAATCATACGACTAATCCTAAGTTAGAAGCAGGAAACAAAAAAATTGGAAAAAGCGAAGCAACTGCCTTTGTAAACCCTATTTGTTTGGATTTTACATTTCACATAATGTGAAAACCGTGGAAAATTTCTCCGAAAGCAAGTTGGAGAAAATTAAAATCAAAGCCAAATGACCGCTAGTTAGCGCCCTCCACAGAAAACAACAGTCCGACCCTTGACTCTTACATTTTGGTCACGAAGGAGGAAAACATCAAAAATTCTTCATGAAAACATAACCCTAGCGCGGCGTCATAATCACGCCAAAAATCCACCTGAGGAAAATTTCGAAATAATTGTTGATGACTGGTAATATTTAAATGGCTTACCGAGTGCCTTTCTCAAGTCAATCTGAACAACAACCCATCTGTGATACCCAGCATATGAACCGTAGATTGTAAACTCTGCACTCTGTTCCCCAGGCTCCGTCAGAAGACCATACACCCTCAACCTGGTGTTGTTTAAGAATCTATAAGTTAACCAGGTCTCTCCCTCATTCCAGCTGTAGCTAAAGATAAAAAGAAAGAAAAAGGTTTACCTTATCGGAAAGAAAGCCTGTAATGCAGGCGTCTTATTAAAACGAGTTTGCATCTCAAGCTTGCGATTGTTGAGGGTCCCCAATAGGGTTCTTCACTCCCACCATCCCGATCGGAATTTTCCCTCAATCCCGAGATCCCGAAGGTTTCATTGTTTATCCGGCCGGCCATGTTTGATTTAGCGTTACAATTACAGTCAACGGTGAGGGAGAGACGAGAATTCCATTGCCCCACCCCCTCCACCCTTCTCTCCTTCCTTTTCACCGACGCTCACCCCATTGATACAAAATTATTTACTTCTCACCCCAGTCTTTCACTGCTGTACGAATCAAAGATAGCAGAAATCATTTTCACAAAAAAATACTAAGCACCCGCTCGTCAAAATTACACCTGCTATACAAACTAAAGCAAAGATGGAGTTTATATCGTTAGTTTTAAGATTAACCTAGTAAAAAGCTATTTCACGAAAACATCTCTTGCAAGCTTTAGGTTATTATGTTGTTGCAGTTAATGGTATCTGACAGGATTTTTTTTTTTTTTAACTTACTAAATCAAGTTTGTTAAAGTATTTCTCCGAACCGCAATGAAAATTCCACCATGATCACCCAGGTTGTACAACCAGAAGGGGCGTTGCAGAATCTAAAACAAAAATAACAGTTAGCTAAAAGGTCTACAACCCTCAATTGCAGACAATGTTACTACAGCAAGTATTGGTGTTGTCAGAACACCACAGAAAAAAAAAAAGGGCACAAAAAATAATAAGTACATGTAACTTTAACAGAAAAACTAAAATGTAACAATAAAATTTTTAACCCTTTTGCTCCCATGAGTGACCAAGACAATTTTTCCTTACAAATTCTATACAACGTCAAGCAGAAAAACATCAACAAGGGGATTTTGAGTTCATCCAATACCAAATTCTCCAAACTTACATGATAAGAAGTGTATGGCAGACAGTAAGGAGAATTACTGATGAGATCTTGGGAGTAGGAAGGTTAAAGATGCCACTCTTGCCATTTATAATCACAGAAGTGATCACAGTAGAGACCACTGAGTGACAGCATCTTTTTGTTAAGATATCCTACACATAACTTGTACCAACACTTCTACCACAACTATTTCCGAGCGAGTTACAGTGGAATGTTGAAGGCAATGAATATGTAATATAGGATTGAAAGGTTTTGCTTTTCATTTTTTTTTTTTTTTTGCAACAACTTTGTGTGACTGGTGTTAAAATCTTATGCCATCACATCAACCAATCAAAAACAAAAACAAAAAAGTTACTGGGTTACAAGGAGGTTGTAAGTGCTGCACTTCCTCATATTTTCTTGGAGGTTGAATTGGTTTTTAGTGAAAAAGTCTTCTGTTCTGTTGGCCGGTACAATAAGTACAATATTATTTTTTATAAACCCTAACAACTCTAAAAGAACACAATAACAAACAGATTCCATGTTGCAGTGCATTTGTTCAATAATTAATTATGTTCTTACCACATACTGATGCCCTAAATATGTGGTCAGAACAAAAAAGTGGCACACAAAGCGTCGCTGATCAGACTAACCACAACATGGGATTGATAGAAACTAAAAAATTGTTAATGGTGATGTCATCTACGCATCTGTCCTCCAACTGATCATATGTAAGAACTGATCAAATGCATGCACGATTCAGCTTATTAAATAAATGCAATTGGTTACCATGTGCCAGTTCAAGCCTGCATCTGTTGACAGGAAGATGTCGCTGTTCAGTCTCAAGTTTGTGCCATAAGTACCTGAGATTTAAAAAAAAAGGGCATTGATGTTACCCAGTAGAGGGCCTGTGACAGGTGATGTAGATGGTATAGAGAACATTACAAAAAAAATTTAATATCAGCAGTAAGTATGCCAGAAAGACCAAAACTATACAGATAAAGAAGAAAAACAGTAACCTAGTGGAGGACTTGTGACAGGTGATGTAGATGGCATACAGAACATTACATAAAAAATATCGGCAGTAAGTAGGCCAGAAAGACCAAAACTATAGAGATGAAGAAGGAAAACGGGATCCTATAGCTCAGGACACATGACGACAGTCAATGTGGATTGGATACAGAATATTACATAAAAAAAATCAGCAGTAAGAAGGCCGGGAAAACCAAAACTATAGATTGAAATAAAGAAGAAAAAGAGTAGGAAAATGTTCAGCAAACTGAAACAACTAAGGATAAAAAAAGAAATAAAGCAACAAAATTAATGCAGTTGCTGTGCTTGACCCACTGGTGTTGACAAAAAAAATGTGTATCAGAAATAAAAGGAAAATGCAAGGACAAGGATGATGGTTCCCTACATGATGTATAATAAAACTAGCAGATATAAATTATAATAATTCAAGAAAGAAGCAGAGTGGAAAGAGAAAAAAGAGAATGGAGGAGTAAGTACTGGTACATGATACAAAGTAGAAAAAGACAAAAAAAAGCACTTCACTGTACCTGTTGCCATTATGATGCCAGGGGCATTGCTCCATGATCTCATAGGAGAGTAACGGGTGTAAGGGTAGTACTGGCCAAATTTTTGTGACAAGTGCAACGAACAATTTGGCTGAGAAAACATATCAAAAGTACAATAATAAACCATTTGAAAAGTGTAACAGTAAACCCCAAATGGCTTGTTGATGTTCAAGGTTATCCTGTTAATCATAACAGTACTCGCTTGGAGCCCTGAGAAAACATTTATGCAAGACTACCTACATGATAACCCTAATAAACAATAACATAACTT